TTTTCTTCTTTGGATATCTTTGGAATTTTCATTGGTTCCTTACACTATATTTGGATTGGGATCCGAAATAGTTGGACATAATGTTTCAGATTACTGGATATGCAATCATGAATGACCTAGTATTATGGGTACAAGTCAAGTAATATATTATAAAAGCTTAGTTTAAGGATGAAGAATCAAACTAAAGTACAGTTAAAAGAAACAACCAAGTTCATTCATTCTACGGTAAAAATTCAAAAAAGATACACGAGCATCTACTAATTTCCATTTGGATCAACTACATGAGATGCTAGAAAAGCTCTTCGAGCAGGAACGGGCCACCATCTTCTAAGACCGAATAGGAAACAAGATTTCGATCTTTTATTGCATGTGTCCCCCACTTCATCATAAAGAATGGTGTAGTTTGAGCTGCTAACGTTCCTAGAATAGCAAAATTTACCACCGTGATAATTGTATGATTGTTGGGTACTTGCCACCCCACGGACTACCAGGTTGTCCTTTACGACCATAACACCCTTTCCTTTCTGTAAATTCCGGAGCAAACTGCTAGGTGAACCGGCATCAGCATCGTTGAACTTCTTCTCCTTAAATCCCAATGTGACATTAGCTACAGATAATGAGGTGTCGTTTCCTTGATCAATTTCGTCAGAGTACATGTAGAAAAGAAACCTCTTGAGAGATTTCTTTGATATTGCATTAAGAGCCGGGATGTTCACATTAACACTGTCATTAGAATGGGTGACCTGATCTATGATCTGCAGATTTCCATTAATCACCATGGTGTTACTATAACTTAAATCTTGAGTGGCTTTGGTTGTGACTGTACCATAACTGGACGTAACCCATCCTGTCGAGGATATGAACCTAGTCGTATTCGTAATGAATGTTCCATTTAAACCTTTAAAATCTAACACAGAAGACACACCGAGAGGAACAATATCATATTGCAAAAGCTTCCCTTCGGTCTTCTCACTCTTACTATCTAACCATAGATGCAAATTGGCATCAATATACCACACATTCAAGGCATTTGTAACACTAAAGCTTAGGTTATGGGGTTTTCCATCCAATAGATTCCCCAAAAATGGGGTGATTTCGATATCATAAGTAGGGAGATCGAATGAGCCGATGGCACTAATCGGTCTCCACAAGAGTGGATTGATTCCACCAGTGAAAACCACAGTGAAAGGCCAAACAGCACCAATAACATCACCATCCAAACTAACCACGACTTCCCTAAAAGGTCCATTCCCTGCATAACCTGTAAGATTATTGGCAGCAATGTACTCATTCGGAAGATTTCCATACCAAAACTCATCATTCTCATGAAAAGAGACATACACTTCCAATACTGCTCGATAAACATTCTGAGGAATTTGAAATTTCTTCACTTTGACATCATTGGAATTCTGAATCTCATACCACAAACCATCATTCAATGGCAAATCTCGGGAAAAGGGTATAATCAGATCAGCCTCAGAATCAATCCCAGATCCTAAATTTCTCCTCTTTTCCTTAAAAAGATCCATTTTTTCCACAGCAGGGTAAAAATAAAGAGACACATTGACATGGTAAACACCGGTATAAGTTTTATCAACAAGATTTCCCAAATAAACGGCAAAAGTTTGAGTCTTGTTGGATAAAAGCAAGGAAGAATACCTGGTGACATCCTTTTTGACAGTCCAGAAAATACCAGTAGCTCTAGGTTCAGCGGTGCAGCTCCTGAGAAGTTCAACTCCAGATAACCAAACCCCAAAAATCCTATCGAATTGTCTTCCTTTACAAGTGGCATTCCACTCCAGGACAATCTTGGAAAATTCCTGAAAAGGGCAATCAGATGGGAAGTTATAGTTAGCCAAAACGGGGGATTTACCATAAGTGAAGCCGAAGTCATGTTGAAGAACGGTGAGGGAACAAGGATTGGTGTGTGGGACTTGGATGGGTTTGGTGACTTCAAAAAAGAGAGCTGGTGGGATGGTTTCATTGGTTGATGATGGCTGGGAGAAAAGGGATGATCTGAGGAGGGTTTTGGAGTTGTGGAGATTGGCTTGGCTGAAGAGGGGGTCGAGAAAAAGAAGGGGAAGCAAGTACAACAATGGGTTTAAAGTGAAAGAAGCCATGGATGGTTTGGTTGGCATGGAGTAGAGTGATCTGTTGCTGCTTTCTAGACCTACCCGACCCTCTGATTCATATGGATTCCGCAGATTCCAAGACTTCTTGTTGTTCTGCCGACTAAACTTTTTCTTTTCTCGTAAATATCCATTATTATTTTAATAATTATTTTTTAAAATATTTATTATTATCATAGATATATATAATTTATTTACAGATTGTGTAAATATTACTTACGTGATTAGGGGTACTAAGTTATATAAAATAATTATGAATAAAAAAGAAATAGATGAGAACTTGACACATTAAAATTCTAGATTAAACCAGTAAGATAAAATTGAAAATTCCATGTTAAAATTAAAAAAAAACTAATGGTTCAATCGTATTTGATTTTTAATTTTTTATTTTACATTAATTTTCTAAATCATTACTATTTTGAACTAATAGTTTTTCTGAATTAAAAATTGATAATTAGACTAAATAATTTTTATTAACTTATACTTTAAGAATAAGTAACGAAAAAAGAAAAACGAGACAGGAAACATATGTTTACTTTGAAGAGGGGTTTTAATGATGTAAAAGAGCAGAACTTTGCATTTTGCAACTCGGAAAAGATATTGAAGATCTCTAACGAGTTGATGATGAGATATATCCAAAATCATATTCTTTTAAAAGATTTAGATCTTAAAATATTAAAGACTATTTTTTTATAGTTTGGAACAAAGAATAAATTTCATTTATTGATATTCTAATTTTATTAACTATTATGCTTCTTTTACGTAAAATATTATTATTTTTAAATCAAATGATAATTTTTCTCAGAACGGATAGTGACCTTATATTTTCAGGAAGCACATATTAATGGCACATTTAGAACTTGAAAGAAACCAATAAAACAAAAAAAAAACAGAGAAGTTGAGCTGATATTTGGGAGGAAGAAGTAAAATATGGAATTTGAAACAAAAGGAATAAAAGACTTTGATCAGAGATTAAAGTAGTTAACAAAGGTAGCATTGTGGTATTCACATGTCTATGTGCTTGACACTATATGTACACTTCCACTGTTCCACACCATGCTTCAGGTTCTCAAACAAATCAAAATTCAAGAACGTTGTTTATCTGAACAGAGAAGGATGGACATCCCATACTGGAAAGCGGCACGTCCACTCTTACTACTATCCCCGAGTTCCCGACATTTCCGTTCCACTTAGAACGCCCAGGCTGCATTAAACAGGACAAAATCATGAGCCAAATTCGTAGCAACTATTTATATGAGCATTCAAGCACTATACCTTCAATGAGGCTGCAGGTGCAACCAAATGGGACAAATAATATCGGAAAAGATGAGAGAAGGGCAAAATCTAAAATTCCAGAAACTGAAATGAACAATACCCGTATCACATTTTTGCAAATCCAGCAAACATGCGCAGATGAGATCTGCTTTAAAATAGGATTTTTATTAAAGCAACTTACTGATATTGATGCAAATGCTGAAGGATGCGCAGCCAAAGAACATCCACATATCATATTGATATCCTCCTTCACTGCATGAATAACTTCTGCTTGCAGCCCCGGATTACTTCCTCCAAACGTTGGACACAAACTGATCATCGATGTAGCAACAAACTTGTGAACACTATGCAGGACTACTGCGTGACATTTTAAAAAAAAATCAATGATGACATAATATTATTTTATAGTGATACATCGGCATTATCGATAATTTTTAAAGATGAGTGATCCAAATAAATCGAAATGTAACATTAAATGTGATTTTAAACCAAAAAATAATTGAGTGACTAAAACATAATAAAATTAATAGTTGAGATAGTAAACGTGTAATCTACCCTAAATTTAAAGGTTTGTTCAAATTGAATATAATAAACTAAGGTTTTGCCATGCTTCTATGGTGATGGAGATAAACATGTGACTCTTGGGATATAGTTTTTTTTTCTTATTTATTTTTGAGGGAAAAAAACGAGGACATAAATGACTATTGAAGGTTGATATTTAAGATACGAATTAAGAGATTTCATTGATTGACGAATTGTTATTATTTTTTTAGGACTGAGTTCGAGCACTATGTTTATAAAGGTATGACATTTCAATGTTAAAAGATTGAATTTTTTTTTATCAATTACTACTTTATATTCACACCAGATTAATTAAAAAATTAATATCTATAGAATTCATACGTTAATCTTAATGATAAAAGTTAAAAAATTCTAATAAAAATAATACTTTAGAACCATCTCATACTATTAAAAATAATATCTACCGAAATTAAAAAAAAAATCTACACTATTTCAATACATATATATAATGTTGACTTGTAAAAATTTCAAAATAATAACGCATGTATTTGATGAAAATTTTCAATATATACTTTTACAACTATATCTAGCATAAATCTTAACACTTTAATTTATCATACAGACCAGTTATTTTAATTATAGTACTGACATGAAATATATTTTATATACAAGATTTAAGAACTTTCATAAATAGTTTGTAAAAGAAAATCAATTTACTTGTATAATATATTTTTATAATATTGTTTAGCATAATTTTCTATACATTAATATTATAAACGTTTAAAATATTCATACATTATATATATTATATACACTAGCTATTTTAATAATACTACTAACTATTAATTATATTATATTATATTATATATACGACTTATGAAATTTCACTAATGATTAGTGAAAAAATCCAATTAAATCCATAAATTAAAGAAAAATAATGAAGATTTTCACAAATCTAGAGCTTAGACAAAGATTATGATAAATTGGACACGGAAAACCTTAAGCCACCCAAAAAAACATACAAATATCTAACACGGATTTCTCTGCCACTTTCAAAAGAAAATTTCAGATTCTCATAGGAAAAAAGGGGGGGGGGAACCCATCTTTTGCATGGAAATTTGGGCCCATTTTGCTTTCCATCGATGAATAGAACAGAGTTACATTTGCTTTAAACGATTCCTTTCTGGTTAAACCCATATCTTCTTCTTTTTCTTATCATAATTTCCAGCTCAAGAGAAGTTTCCCATTAATCATCCTTGAAATCTATTTTGCTCAGGTAATAAGTTGACTATCTTTCTGTCTTAAATTTTGTTTTTGCTTATTGGGTTTTGTTTCAATTCACTTTTTAATTGGGGTTTTCTTTTTCATATCTTTTTAGTTTTTATTATCTATTTGATTTAGCTTATAATGTAAGCGGTACCCATCTTGTATTTTGGCTTCAATTTTATGAATTCACCTAGTATATTGTTTCTGGTAAAAAAATCATTTCTTATTTTGGTGATATTCTGATTGAAATGTATACTACATTTTAGACAATTTAATCCTGATGATCTGCTGGCTTAAAAACCAATGGCAAACTGATATAAGTATCACTTTGATCAAGCCGGTTGCTTTTATGGCTACCGACCTCTCATGCGATTTTCGAATCCAATCATGGATTTGCGATCCGATTTGTAAATCTATAGCATCACAAAAGACAATAAGCTTGTGCTTGGTTCAGAGGTTTTAGTGTGCTTAAAAACATTTTGTAGCAGCTTCGCTCAGTGTAGGAACTGGTTGTTTTGCTGACTTTGGTATACGACTCACCATACTGAAACAATCTATTTTCAGTTCATTTCTGTTCATCTCCGCGACTGCTTTTTAAACAGAATAAGGCATAAATAGATACACAGAAATATGGGCAGTCCTGCCGAGCCAAAGAGAAGAGTGGCATTCGTGTTGATTGATGGATTGGGAGACGTATCAATACCGAAGCTTGGGTGTAAGACTCCCCTGCAGGCAGCCAATGTTCCAAACTTGGATGCTATAGCATCAGCTGGAGTTAATGGTCTCATGGATCCCGTGGAAGTAGGTTTGGGTTGTGGGAGTGACACTGCTCACCTTTCTCTGTTGGGCTATGATCCCAGAGTATATTACCGAGGGCGTGGTGCTTTTGAGTCCATGGGAGCTGGGTTGGCCATGTCACCTGGAGATATTGCATTCAAGGTGTGTAACCTACTCTACCTTTCCCCTTTCTTTGCTTGCATTTCTCAGTAGATTATTTGCTGATAATTTTTCTGTTTTGGAACATTAACGGAACATCCCTCAATGTGATAAATACTATAATCTAGTACTGGTAATTTGATTTTTTATTCAAGAATTTCAACTTCTTAGTCAAGTTTAATGTACGTTATATGATCTTACATCTTTAACCCCTATTTCCTCTGAAAATGGTTATGATTATATAATCCCTTTTTTTCCTACTAGATATGTTCTAACTTCTGAATTCACTTTGTTCCCTTAAACATTTTCCTTATTCATTTTACCAGCAAGTTAATATATAATAGTTCTATGTATTTTCTTTAGAGCATGTCCATAGTGTTCTTATACATGATTACCATTCCAATTATCTATCTTCAGTCCAATTTTGCAACTTTGGATGAGAAAACTGGCATAGTTACGAGTAGGAGAGCTGACAGGCATTTTGAAGAAGAGGGGCCTATCCTTTGTAGTGCCCTGGATAGAATGAAACTCCCATCTTTTCCCGAGTATGAAGTTAGAGTCAGGTATATTGTGATTCATTACCTTAAATTTGACTTTATGTTGTGATATTATTTTTCTTAAGTTCTGCAGGACATCTAGCTTACTCGAAAAAGTTTCATTTTTACATGGCTGTTTTGGTTATTGGGTTTCCTATGATTAACAATTTTGAACCTTGAAAATGTCTAGTAAATGGTTATGATGGTTAAGATAGATGGTTTTGAGAGTGCTTTCTTCTATATCAACTCCATTAAGGGTTGGTTTAACAACTATTTAATGCTAAGTCATCGTAATCAACCTCTTATAGGTATGCTACAGAACACCGATGTGGAGTTGTTGTTAAAGGACCAAGACTCAGTGGAAATATATCAGGAACTGACCCTTTGAAGGACAATCGCTTACTTCTGGATGCCAAAGCTTTAGATGACACCAATGAAGCAAGACACACAGCTGCAGTTGTTAATGAATTATCCAGGGAGATATCGAAGATACTGGTGTCTCACCCATTGAACGCAAAGAGATTAGCAGAAGGGAAGAATGTCGCCAATGTTGTCCTTCTAAGAGGCTGTGGTATTCGAATCGAGGTATTATGTCCTAGAATTTTCCAAAATGTGCATGTATTATGAGGAGAAAAATACTTACACCAAAAAAATGTTTTCATTTTGCATTTTTCTACTTGGTTTCTTTTTCTTATATAATAGGATAACCAATAAATGGCTCTATATTTTCTAATTATGCATGTAGGTTCCTCCATTTGAAAAGAAACACGGCTTGTGGCCTTGTATGGTGGCCCCCACAAAAATTATTGCAGGATTAGGCCTATCACTTGATATCGATATCATAGAAGCTCCTGGAGCAACCGGAGACTATCGAACACTTTTGACTTCAAAAGCAACTGCCATAGCTAAGGCACTCTCTGCTCCTTCACAAACTTGTCCTAGTGTCTTCGTACCAGGAGAGGATGAACACAAGCCTGGCAGATCAGATGGCTATGATTTTGGATTTCTCCATATTAAGGTAATGACCTTATGAATGCATCATTTATTGTTGCTTTTTGGTGTTTCCTTGTACTTAATAGATACTTGTAAGTAACTGCCATTTGGGCCAGAATCGCTGTTATTTGTTCAAGTCCCTTTTTTTGTATTTCCCTGAGTTTGCAACCTCTTATGTTTTATCCCACATAAGATAATCTTGTTTTGGAGTTTGCTGATTATCTATGCCAAACGTTATCCTGATTTATCAATCCCGAGTTTGAGAATCTTCTTTTCTGCAATATTGTCTGGAAAATATCTTCTTTCAAAGTAGCAGCAACCGGGTATGGTAAATGGTGAATTTTTTTGACAACTGATATCACAGAGGTTGATTTATTTCTTCCATTTTGGCTTTATACGCGTCTCCTGTCCTTGTTATGGACGCTAACAAGTTCTGATGTTTATGGAAGCCTGAAATCTATGAGCATCATTCTCCATGTCGTTTAAGCAATGTGATTTACTTGATCTTCCTAAATTGCAGGCAATAGATGATGCAGGTCATGATAAGGCAACTGTTTTCAAAGTAAAAGGATTGGAAGCTGTGGATCAAGCTATAGGACAGCTGGCCAAGCTCCTGTGGCAGACCGAATCGACTGGAAATTTTCAATATTTTATTTGTGTTACCGGTGATCACTCCACACCTGTCGAATATGGAGATCACAGTTTTGAACCAGTTCCATTTACAATGTGTCAGTTGAAAGATTTTGTGGGTGCCGTTGGTGGGGAGTCTATTGTTTTGGAAACTTCTCTTGATCCATTTCCTCTTCCGACTGTCAAGGCTGATGAAGATCTAAATGAAGACATTGCTTTAGAAAAAGGGGGAAAATGCAAGCAAATTCAATCATTTTCCGGTGATTTGGTTTTCAAGTTTAACGAGATTGCAGCGGCCAGGGGGTCTCTTGGACGGTTCCCTGGTGGTGAGATGATGGGGATTATAAAGAGATTTCTTAAATTAATTGCATGACTTTCATAACCTCAGTGTCTGAATAAGGTACTTATTCGAAAAATAACAATGTGATGTCGAATGCTCTTGATCCATCAACTATTCTGTATGCTCCTGCATTCCGACATCAAGTACCGGAAATAGACTACTGTCATCGAACAATAACGAATGTTCTTGTTTTGTGAGAAAAATAAGTAGTATTTTCAGGGTATACATTCGACTTTCCTGACTTTTGATTGAATTTTCGTTTTTGTTGAGAACTTGCACTGCTTTGACATATGAACATCTGGTAAATAATAGACCTTACACAGATTCATGATCGGTGTGGAGGTGACGGACATCTGGTACAAGACCCTGGCTAAAGACGGAAGCCCGGTTCGCATTTGGGCATGGGAGACTGCTTTACACTTAAACCATTCACCATTTGTGAAGCTTTACTTTGCTGCTTTTCATTATCTTCCAAGATCAATATGCTCCTCGTAATGTGTAGAAATCAATTTTTTCATTTTAAATTATTATTATTAAATTATTATTATTATTATTATTATTATTATTATTATTATTATTAATAGTAATATTATTTATTATTTAAATATTACAAAGCCCAAATCACAATCCAATTACATTCAAATCCCAAACCCAAATGGAAACCCTGAATCAATTTGGGGTTTCAGCTAGGGTTTTCAAACCCTAGCCCCCAGCCGCCGTCAACATCATCAGCCGTTGGATCTGGAAAGATTCAACGGCCCAAAAGGGTTCCAGATGGAAAACCCTAGGGTTTCTAACCCTAGCAGCCAGCCGTTTCCAGATGCGGCGCCACCCCTGAAGCCACCCCGACGACCGACTCTCTGATGCCAGATGGTCCAACCAGTTGCTGCCGACGCTGTTGCTTCCACGACGCCGACCTCGTCGAGCTTTCCAGAAGCCAGCTGCCTCACCAAATCAGTGCTCTATGGTGAGTCACCGCCATAGCTTGGTGACTCACCAAAGATGCTAGATCGGACCGGTCCGAGGAGTACACTGTGGTGGCTATAAAAGCCACCACTGAACCTGCAAAAAAAGAAAGGAGAGCGAGGACAGAGAGCAACGGAGAACACAAGAGAAACGAGAGATCCAGCAAAGAAAAAAAAAGGGAAGACAGAAAGCTACCAACGAACCCACAACCAACATAAAACCAAAACAGAAAGCAAAGAAAGAAGAAAGAAACTTACCCTTGGAGCTTTGACCACCGTCGGAAGCACTAAACATCGCCGGAGAACAGAAAATACCGAAGGTATTTTCGTAGATTTACTCCGATTAGGAGTCTTTTAGGGAAAACAAAGACCGGAATCGGTCTTAGGGCGTTTAGATCTACGCTTTGGGGGTATTTTTGGTGAATTCCGACCACCGTTACGGTGGTCGGCGGCGGTGGTCGGCGGCGGAGTACGGTGGCCTATGGCTGCCGGTTTCCCTCCGGCGAGGGAAACTAGAGAGAAACCAGAGAGAACTCTGGTTCTCTCGTTTTGAGAGAGAATGGAAATAGGCAAATGAGAAGCTTGGCCCTTCGGGCCAGGCGTTTAGGGTATTTAAAACCCTCCCCAAACGACGTCGTTCTGGGGAGGGTATCTGTGTAATTTCCATCATGGGTAAACCCTTTCCGCAGTCACTCCGAGTTTATAACATTACAAATTAGTCACTGGAAGCAAATTTTGATTCTTTTAATTATGTCATTCTATTTTATTTTATTACATTTTAGTCATTATCAGTTTATATATATATTTAGGGTAAATAACTGATTTAGTACCTTATAATTTTATTAACATTTATTTTAATCCGATTAATTAAATAAGGCTAAATTACATTTTTAGCACTTAAAGTTTTTATTTATTCGAGATAGAGCCTTTAAACTTTGATAAATTTTATTTTAATCAATGATTAATTAATTAAGGATTAATTACACTATTAGTAATTTTATTTTATGATGATTCAAGTTATGTTCATTATTTTAAATAATTTTACATTTATTATTATTTTATTTATTTATAGTCATTGTTTAGTTATTTTTTTACTTAATTTTTATTATTTTAATATATTTTAAATCATTACTTTAATTATTGTTTTACTATATTATAAATATATATATTATTTATTTAATAATGTTTATTTATTTTCCATATTAAAGAAAAGGGCAGTCTTAATACAACTGGATGTCCTATTTTGGTATTTTAAAACTAATTATTATAAAAATTATAATTTAGTTTTATTACGTTTTTATTTATTAATATAGAAGGAAAGAGTTGTCTTAAGGTACCTAGAAGCCCTTTTCTGATATTTCTAAATAAATAAATATCTTATTTATATATTAATATATTTTCTTAAAATTATAAATTTGAAATAAAAAGATTATGAATTAAATATATTCGAAATTTTTTCTTCTAATAATAGAGACAATTTATAGTTAATAAAGTACCAATTTTGGGCGTTGTAGGGGTGCTAATCCTTCCCTAAACGTAACCGACCACGAATCCCTTTTTATTAATAAAAAGAATGAATTTTTGGTTAAACGCAGATCAGTTTATCTTTTAACTGATGTTTTCTTAAAAACTCTTTTAAAAGATGATTTTTAGGTATTCGACCTACCTGACTCAAAAGGCCGATGGCGACTCCCAAATTATTTTAAAAACCATTTATTCACATTACTTTTCCCATAAAGTTAATATTTTCGTGCCCGGACGAAAACCGGTTACGACAGCTTGGCGACTCTGCTGGGGACCAAGTCATGCTTTGAAATCAATTATAAATTGTCTTTATTAATTAAAAATTAAAAATTCATACATTTAATTTTTAATTTTTTCTTTTCAAAATTTTTATATATACTTATTATTTTCATAATATTTATATGTTATTTAATGCTTTATATTCAAATATTAAATTTTATTATTTATTTGTTAGAGGTTTGAACATTTCTCCTCACACACAACACTTGCATTGCATAACATAAAGCTCTATAATTGAGTTTGTCCCTTTTAAGTGAGAGTGAAAGCGACGTCTTCGTGAGAATTTATTCTCCGTGTCAGACCTAGCAAGTAACTTTCGGGGTTCATATGCTCTATGTCTTCGTGAGAATTTATTCTCCGTGTCAGGTATAGAGAAATGTGTCCTCTCGAATTAAACTCGATCCATTTAAGTCTGTAATGGATTAGGATTGAGGGTTGATAGCCCAAAGGGGCATCAACAAGGACAATTCGAGTACCTTTACTCCTAAAACTGAAACCATGCATGTAATAAACCTTAGAACTTCTCCTGATCTAAACCTTTGTCCTTAGGTGTACACAAAGGAGAAATAAGCTTTAGCTTTTAATTTTTTAATTTATTATTTTTTCTGAATAAATGCCTGCGAACTAAAAATCATGCGGTTAGGTTAAATTTTCCAAACAAAGCATGGAACTAGAAAGCATGAGGTTAAGATTTATACCTTGATAGATAGATTTTTTTCATTAGTTGGTACTAACTATTTTATTTTTTCTCATTTCTTTTGTTTGCATTGCATGATCATAGCATAACCAAAAGGTGTTTACTTGAAAGACTGTTCATCATATTGGAAAGAAATCGTAAATGGACAAAAAGTTTTATGATCAAACAAAATATGATGCGGCCAAAGAAAGACATTCTGAGGAAACTCCGAGGATAGAAGCATGCTATGCACCCAAAGATCGTATGACCATTAAGGAGCAAGAGGAGATACGAGAAATAAGAGAGCAGATGTCCAAGATGATGGATAGAATATCTGTGTTGGCCAAAGGAAAAGAGATTCCAGCACAGAAAGAGAGAGAGCTCAATGAACCTAACTCTGCAGTTTCAGATACGCAAGGGATTTCGATTCCTAACCAATTAGAGAAATTACAGACAGTCATCATTCGTATTCACAAATCGTATGGAGATACCAAAGAAATGGTGACAACCGTACAAGCTCCCAGAGAAGAGAAGAAATCATGTAATCAGAAATCATCAAAGTTTGGTCTGCTCCCGATGTCTAAAACTCAGGTTCAATCCAAGACAAAAGGTGGCTCTCATCTTGATACTATCCCCATATCATATAAAGAGTTGTATGAGAAGCTATTTGAAGCACAAGAAGTGGATCCATATTATATAAAACCGTTCCAACCTCCATATCCAAATTGGTATGACATCAACGTTCATTGTGAATATCATGCCGGAGCTCAAGGACATACCATCGAGAATTATCTTGCCTTCAAACGCCGAGTCCAAAGTCTTTTGGATCATGGAACCTTACAATTTATGGTAAATGATCGACCTAGTTTGGTAACTAAGGGTCCTGATAGATTAATACCAAAAGTCTTCAAAGGTAAGAATATCAGTAGGGGCGCCCAGAGAGAAGAAGATTTGATGAGGTTTGAAGCTCAAATACGTCATTTGAAGATTGAAAACGATAAATTGAGCACCAAAATGGAAACCATACATGAAGACTTCCAGAAGGTCAGTCAAGCTTTTCAAAATGCTGGCATAGGAAACACCCCAGAAGAGTGGATATCAGGGGTCACTAAACTGAAAAAGAGTTGCAGCATACATGAAGATCTTCTCCAAAAACTTTTTGAACACAAATGTTCTCTCGCAAAGAAAAATGATCAACTCCAAGAATTAACATAGGAGATGAAAGAACCCCAGAATGTCATGAAAGAAGCTGCAGTCCAAACAAGCAATATGGCCCATAAGCTGATAATCTAACTTGGTTTTAGAGAAGAAAATGGGAAAGTTATTCCCTATATGTAAAGTTTTGTTGAAGTTAGGATTAAAAGTTGTCCCCTACATGTAAAAGTTTTGTTTGATGTACTGAAGCTTTTGTGTTCAATGAAATCTGTTCTAAGATGATCACTCTTAAGTAACACCTTTTCATACATGCATTTACATTTTGTATCTGTGCATTTTCATTTTGTATTTTTATATCTTTGAATTACACATTTTGCATTCTTATTTTTCCATTTATGCATTTTTCACATTTTTATTTAAGTACTGTCATCTACTTTAATTATAAAAACATATAAATAATTCATGAAAGGTTTCTGTAACAGTAAAAACCAAGATCATTCATTTATTTTACTGTACCATCATCATGAAAACAATGGAGCAATCTTATGAAGGACTACAAGACCATTGGTCAGAACCATTGACAGGGTTACCTCGGGATACAAGGAAAGAAGTTTCAGATTCAGTACCAGAT